CGAACGGATGTCAAAGGGATTCTGGGTACTTTTAGGCTGACCGCTTGCCTTCTAGACCTCATTGGCTCTCTTTGTCGCCTCTCTCCAGCCTGTGCATCATTTTATAAATATCTATCACATCCCCATCTTAGTTTGTCTCTTTTCTACACTAAAAAGTCCCAGACTCTTTCCTCTAGGGAAGGTGCTCAAGCCCTCTAATCGACTCGGTTGCCCTTCTACGTTTTTGATTGCCTGTGTTCTTACACATTAAGATATGAAGTCGTAGGAAAGAGCGATACTGCTGAAGACTCAGAGAGGCTGGGAGCACAGGCGATCCGACATCCTTCCACCCCCACTCACACACACCTCCTCCAGTGAGAGCCAGTTTGGTGTAGTGGTTAAGTGCGCGGACTCTAATCTGGGAGAACCAGGTTTGATTCCCCACTCCTCCACTTGCAGCTGCTGGATGACCTTGGGTAAGCCGTAGTTCTGATAAGAGCTGTCCTTGAAAAAAATCAGTGCTGGAAAGAGCTCTCTCAGCCCCACCAACCTCACAGGGTGTCTGTTGTGGGGAGGGGAAGGAGTTTGTAAGCCACTCTGAGACCCTTTTGGGTAGTGAAGGGCGGCGTATAAATCCAATCTCCTCTCCTCCTCTACCTGCAGAACAGATTGGTTGGGACGCCACTGGAAGGCATTTATCCGAAGCCTTGATTGCCCGTGCTAGCTTTCCCTCGCCAGCAGCAGCACAGCTGTGCTGAGAGAATGAAGATCTATGCCCCTATAAAAATTAATATACCCCGGGCACAGCTGTTTTATCACAGAAGCACTTTGCGGAGAAAAGGTAGCGTCTTTCAGCCAACTGTGCTATTTCGGCTCATTGCCAGTTTTATGCTTCTGGCCTCACTTTAAGATGCCCGTTTCGTCTTACGGTTCAGGCCGAGAAGCTCTGGGGGCATCATCTACTCCAACACAAACTTTACTAGTCCCAGACAGAAGCTCAGTCACATGTTCTCTTCCTGTATGAGTTTTAATTAGGCGGGGGAGGATTTTTAAAAAATGCCTTCTCTGTTGTGGTACTAAATCACACCTGGCTATACCCCCGGCATGCAGACGATACCACTCGAATGGCAGAAAGTGAAGAGGGCCTCAAGAGCCTTTTGCTAAGGGTGAAAGAGGAGAGCGCAAAAGTTGGCTTGAAACTCAACATCGAAAAAAACTAAGATCATGGCATAAGGCCCCATCATGCCTTGGCAAATAGAAGGGGAAGTCGTGGAAGCAGTGAGAGACTTCACGTTCCTGGGATCCAAGATCACTGCAGATGGTGACCGCAGCCATTGAATTAAAAGACACCTGCTCCTTGGGAGGAAAGCGATGGCAAACCTAGACAGCGTAATAAAAAAGCAGAGATGTCACCCTGCCAACAAAAGTCTGTATGGTCAAAGCAATGGTATTCCCAGTAGTCATGTATGGCTGCGAGAGTTGGACTATAAGGAAGGCCGAACGCCAAAGAATAGATGCTTTCGAATTATGGTGCTGGAGAAGACTCTTGAGAGTCCCTTGGACTGCAAGGAGATCAAATCAGTCAATTCTAAAAGAAATCAGCCCTGACTGTTCCCTGGAGGGCCAGATAGTGAAACTGAAGCTCAAAGACTTTGGCCACCAAAGGAGAAGGGAGCCCTCACTGGAGAAGACCCTGATGCTGGAAAAGATGGTCAAAGAAGAAGGGGACGGCAAAGGATGAGATCCTAGATAGGTTATTCGCTACTATAGTAGCACATTGTAAACCGCCCTGAGACCCGCTAGGGGTTAAGGGCGGTATATAAATCACCTGTAAAATAAAAATAAAATAAAAAAAAATGATGTAGTCCGGGGGGTCGCGAAGAGTCGGACTCGACTGTGCGACTGAACGACAACATACCCCCGGCAAGGACCAGGCTAAGGTGGTTTCCATTGTCCTCTAAGAATCTGACAAAGTGAACTTGGACTCCCTAAAGCTCACACCATGAAAATCTTGTTGGTCCCTAAGGTGCCACTGGACTCAAATCCAGCTGTTCTACCACGCAACAACAAGGCTCTCCTCCGAATCAGAGATGGCACTTTCCCTAGTTGGGCATGGATTTGATGAGATGCGTTTTTCAGCAGCCCGTAAATGTAGTGAGAAGAATTAGGTCTAAATGCTTTTTTACCGGCACCTGAAAAACAGGCCGCTCGAAGGCTACTTTCAGGAATTGGGTATCTATGAAACGCATTCTCATCTGGCCCATTAGACTGGCTTGACTCCGGACAGTTCTGGCCCATCGTGCCCACATTTAAGATCCTTTTAATCAGCTACCAAACCTTCAGAAGAGTCTCCTTTTCTCCTTCCTCAAAAGCGCCCTTTTGAGAATCACGCAACAGAAGGATTGCACAAATTCACAAACAAGGAACCAGGAAATAGAGGGGGGAGAAGAGCTCACCTTTTTTGTGCGTGTGTGAAAAGCTCGCCCCCCCTTTTTTTGGGGGTGGTGAAAAGCAGGGCGCGCAAAAGACAGCGGGGGGAGGAGAGCGGAAAAGTACACCAGAACGGATCGCGCCCCCTCCCTCGTCACACACCGACCACGACGGCTAACTGAAGTCCTCTTGGAATTCCCAGCTCCGAACGTCATACTGAGTGTGTTTGTTTCTCCCCAAAAACAGTGCAGCTTGAGCTGTGCAAACAGCAGCTGTCTGAGACTCCCTCCGGCAGGCGTTCCCAGTACAAACTCTGCGGGTCAGCTACTATCTCCAGCTGAGCTCTGAGCAAAGCCCCTGGGCAGCTGCTCTGTCTTCCCCCCCCCCCCCACTACAGAATTGTTTACTTTCACATTCTACGTACCTTGTTCCCTCTGCTGGTCCTTCTGCTCCATGGACACGAGGGCAGAGAAGTGCGCTTGGTCGTAGGCAAGGACCAGGGGAGAGCAGTGGCATCGGTTTGGCGGGACTTCCAGAGGCAGGTAAATTCCGCCAAACGGGATCGGTGCAAATGCTGCAAAGAGAAAAAACAAACGAGACTTTTGGAGATAAGGCGTGAAACGTGGGGAGTGGGTGAACTAGACGGCCTTCCGAAAGGTGATAAGTGACATTTTTATACGTGGCACACCACGGGGGGCCCACTCAGAGACGAACGACTGCCCTAAAACCACGGAGGGCTCCTGAATTTGGCTCCTGAATTCTTTACGACAGATTCCCGGAGAATATTTTCAGTAACTGAAATAGCTTTTGTTAAAAGACAATTTCCTGGACGGCTCAAGACAGAACGCTTAGGAGTATTTCCCTCTTTACAAAATGCTCCAGCAGTACTTTTTAGGAGTATTTTCCTCCCTACAAAATGCTCCAGCAAGCTGCTTTGACCCCCAACACTGGGAGTAAAATACACACAGGTGTCCGTATCCAATGCTCCTTTCCAAGCTGTGGAGTCTTGTGAGCAAAAATTCCTACTTTGTGAGCTACTGGCATGAAAGTTGTGAGCGAGCGATTTCGCTGCTGCATACGTTAGTTTGCTCCAGAGCCCTCCTTCCTGAGCTAAGACAAAAAGGTGTGAGCCGGAGGCTAAAAAACTGCGAGCTAGCTCACACTGACCCAGCTTAGAGGGAACACTGTCCATATCTTTTCTTCAGGAGGAAGGAGGAAGCAGGTAACAGCCTGACAGGCAAGAGGTGAAGCTCCCTTCAAACTGCAGCTTCAGCGGCTGCCGTCTTGTAAAAAGAAACGGAACACCCCATCACAAAAGTGGATCCACTTTGCAGTTCCACCCTCATTTCATCAAGTAGAGTTTCCATGACTCCCCTTACCCCCACCCGAGGCATCTAAGTGTCTGGTTAGAACTTATGGAGAAGGGCAGCTCTCTCATGAGAGGAAGGGTCTATCTAAGTGGACCTCACTGTGAAATACCTATGCATGGAGCACGAGTGGTTCTCAGACCAGCTGTTTCCAGAAGGTGGGAGAGACTCCTTATGAAGGGCTCTGCCAAGCATATGGTCTTGTTACTAAAGAACAGACATCAGCTTATTTCACTCTAGATCTCCGGAGACAGGATGCTGGACTAGATGGACCACTGGTCTGGTCCAGCAGGGCTCTTCTGATGTTCTTATCAGAGGAAGGCTTTGGCCTCTCTGCCCTGTTGTTGGCCCTCCAGAGAAACTGGTTCGCCACTGTGTGAGACAGGATGCTGGACTAGATGGAGCACTGGTCTGATCCAGCAGGGCTCTTCTGATGCTCTTATCAGGGAAAGGCCTCGGCCTCTCTGCCCTGTTGTTGGAGCTCCAGAGGAACTTGTTGGCCACCGTGTGAGACAGGATGCTGGACTAGGTGGACCCCTGGTCTGGTCCAGCAGGGCTCTTCTGATGTTCTTATCAGGGAAAGGCCTCGGCCTCTCTGCCCTGTTGTTGGCCCTCTTGAACTAATGAACTCCGGCCATGAAAGCCTTCGACGACATATTAAAACTGGTTTTGCCCTCTGCAAGGTATAAGCCATGCATCCACTTTGAACTTTTAGTGGATCTATTATGCCCTGCTTACAAGGTGGGTTGATTTTTATTGAGTTACCGATTCGACAGTCGTCTTTTTCATACATAAGCTGCTTTGGAGGCCGGAAAGCCAGGGAATATATATATTTTTTTAAAAAGACAAAGTAAATAAATTGCCATTTTGTGGGTCAGGAGACCCACAGTCCCTAAAATGCTTCGCTCAAGCGGATGTCTCATCAGGAGGCAAATCATCGATTGTGTGGTGAGGGATGAGCCCTGGGCAGGAAACACACCACACCGTAACTCCAGGAGGCCTCAGAGTTGTGGATTCTTGTCATTCCCGTGAAATATTTCACTTCGGAAACACTGGCACTTACACACCTGTAAAGGCACCATAGCCGAACACCGTGAAGCTAACGATCTGTGCAAACTGCGATCAAACAGGCTTACCTTCCCCTCCGGAGTCTCGTAGCATCGTATCCGCAACCACAACAATCGGCCGTCTTAATATATGTGCTAGGACAAAAACATGGAATTCCTCTAGGCTCTCGTACACCGGATCTTCCGAGTTGTCAACTCTGGAAAACCAAGCATCGGGGGATGCAATTCACTGCTTGCTCATCTCAGGTTTTTGGTATTCCTCCCCCAAGACGTTTGCCACCATATACTTATTTTTTGACAATCCCGTGCCTCTTAAGAACCCCTTCTGCCTATTGCCAGATTAAATGCCAATCCTTCTAGAGTTATGAAAGGTAGATATGCTCCCCACCCTGAGAGAGGGTAGGGTAAATATAGATATATTTATTTAAGATATTTCTACTCCTGCTTTTTAACCAGAGTTCTTATTCACGCTTGTGGATTGTTTCATGTCATTGTAAAACTACTCCCCAATTTCCTGATTTTGACGTGGAAATAAAACACACAGGGATAGAGAGATAGGCTTGCATTTAGGCATACTTACTTGAGAATCTAGGGGATAGGGCAGGTGAGCCCCACCTGTGAGTTGACGTGACTGTACGGATCATACAAACCACTGTTAACATCAGAACTGGTCACCTAACATGAAGCAGGCAATTCTCTAATTCTGCAGCACTCAGTGGGCAACAGGTGCCTCCTTTTTAGAAAGAGTATTTTTGCTCACAAAAACTTAAAAGGGTTAAAAAAAAAAGAAAGAAGAAGAAGAAGCCCTAACGAGCAGGTGGCGGCCCAGTCTAGCTCATAATCCAATGTTTCCTCCTCTTTAAACGGAGTTTGCTTTGAAGCCGGTGCACTTTTTGGATGTGTCAAGTTTGTTCCGACACCAAAGAAAATTGGCTCATCTATAATTCACAGACTGATTTGCAAATTCTCTTTAGTACCGGTACAGTGAAATAATTGGAAAATGCAACGCATGAGATTGGGGGGGGGGGGGGGATATTCACGCCCCCAGCTGAGGCTCTTACGTTTATCTTTAGGCTTCAGATTTCTACCTTGGATTCAGACAAGAGACTGCAGCCTTCCCTTGCTCCAATATTTAGAGGCATTTCCCCCCACGATACATATGGAACACCCCCCTTAGTGTGTCTTCAGCCATTCAGTTTGTGGAACAGCCAAAAGAGTGGCTTGGATCCAAAGCACTGGCAGGGAAATGACGCTAGCCGACCAAGACTCCCTTGCCTCCCCCCCACCCCCAGCCCACTGACCCTCCCAAATTTCTGCTCCTGGAGATCAGAGAGATCCTCTCTGGAACAGAAGGAGGGAAAAGTGAGGGTCTCAGGGTGGGGTATCAGCAGAAATCGTCCTCCATTTCTCCATAGATGGAATGGCACCTTTGGATCCAGCTGTTGGTTAACAGAGTGGGCAGTAATAAAGCTAACCTTGTTTGGTGGTGGTGGAGGAGGAGGGGAGGAGTAGTAGTTGGTTTTATACCCCACTCTTCACTACCCAAAGGAGTCTCAGAGCGGCTTAGAGTCTCAGAGGAGGAGGAGGAGATTGGATTTATACCCTGCCCTTCACTACCTGAAGGAGTCTCAGAGCGGCTCACAAACTCCTTTCCCTTCCCCTCCCCACAACAGACACCCTGTGAGGTAGGTGGGGCTGAGAGAGCTCTCTCTCGAGAACTGCCCTTGAGAGAACAGCTCTATGGCTTGCCCAAGGTCATCCAGCAGCTGCGAGTTGAGGAGTGGGGAATCAAACCCGGTTCTCCCGGATTAGAGTCCACGCACTTGACTACTACACCAAACTGGCTCTCTGACAGGCTAGGGTATGCTTGAGTACTGAACACAATTAAGTTCAGCTCACGAAACCTGAACTACACTTATCGCAACAGTATTCGTTCCCCGCCATTCAGCAGAAAACCCCAAGTCAGCTGACGCTGAAAACGATCGCAAAAAGAGGATCGTATCTCTATCTGTCCGATACCTTTGAGTCGAAAGGACAATACGATGAGAGAGAAAATATTTTGAAAAATATAAAAATACTGAAAGCCACCTCCATTCAGGCCACCCATTTGAAATGAGCTAGCAGTGGGCTAAAACCATAGTAAGCAAGTGGCTAAACGCAGGCAAAAGCATGAGAGGACAGCATGGGCGTTGCTTGGAACGGTTCCAGGACAACAGCTCCAAGGAGAGAGTACAGGGAGCCAACACACAGAAGGCCCTCCCCTCTAATAAGCACCAGCCTCATTTCAGAAATTCTGAACACCTGGACCAGGGCCTCTGATGAGAACAGGTGGCAGAAGTTGATCCTCCCGATACCTATATTCCAGGCCGTTTTAGAGCTTCAAAAGTTAAAATCAGCACTTCAAGCTGAACATGGAACTTCAAAGTTGGCACAGATCTTTTAATACTGTGGACTTTTAATACTACAAGAGAACAATCAGACCACCCCGTTTGGGAGCAAGTGAAGTTTCAGTGCTCAGAGGGAATACATGCCACATGTAAATGCAATATAGAAATACAACCTGGACGTTACTATAGCATGGATAACTGTTCCCACGTCCATCTTTTTTTCCAAGAAAGGATATCGTTGGCTACAGGTAAAGAGGCTGGAGGAGGAGGAGGAGGAGAAGAAGAGGAGGAGGAGGAGGAGATTGGATTTATACCCCGCCCTTCACTCGGAGTCACAGAGCGGCTTACAAACTCCTTTCCCTTCCCCTCCCCACAACAGACACCCTGCGAGGTAGGTGGGGCTGAGAGAGCTCTTTCCAGAACTGCCTTTTCAAGGACAGCTCTTATCAGAACTATGGCTTGCCCAAGGTCATCCAGCAGCTACAAGTGGAGGAGTGGGGAACCAAACCCGGTTCTCCCCGATTAGGGTCCGCACACTTAACCACTACACCAAACTGGCTCTCCTATAACTAATCTGGAAAGGTCTGGCAAACGAGGGAGGAAGGGAGACTGTACCACCTCCCCTAGCTGGCAACGCCCCCCCCCCCCCTTTTAAGGAGATTCGACTTTGAGAACTATAGCGTTCAATATTTAAAATATTTATTAGTGGTATGTACGTGTTTGGTTTTGATCTCCGGAGAAACAAAGCTGTCAAAAGATGGGAGTTCTTCTGGCAAATACATCTCAGCGCGTTTTCTAATTGGAGAGCGCCAAGCTGTGCAAAACACGAAGCACACACACACAAAAAAGAAAGGCAGAGGACAGAATGAGGTTGGGGGAAACTGCTAATAAGGACCTGAATACAGAAGGAGCAGCACGTATCAGCCACTTCTCCAAAAAAAGAAGGGGGAAAAGCAGCATGCAAGAGGTTTTTTTTGAGATGAGGAAAGTACAAAACAAACTACCCTAAAACAAGGCATTTATAGGTAAGGTTTCTTATACGTTGGTGGCAGCCAAGACCTTAGTGGCCAGGCACTGGGAAAAATAGTGAACAACCCTCATCAATTATGTGGTTTAATGAGCTATGGGACTACCTGGTCATGGACAAAATATTGGAAGTTATATCCTTGGCAGAGAATCCAGAGTTCCATTCCGATTTTTGGAAACGCTGGCTTCCCTTTCTTGAATATATGGAAAGACGTAGTAAGCTGAAAAGGGCACTTCCAGATAATTTGAAGGTTATAGCTATATATTGTATAGCTGTTTGGTTTTATGGCTCTTGTGTTTTTAATTATGTTTTTATGGTAGAGGTTTCCTAATAGTATGTGCTACTGTAAATCGTGGCTATATTATATAAATAAAAGTTGTTTATTTTAAAAAAATAGGTAAGGTTTTTTTTTTGTTTTTTTTTACAAAGGTGTTATCTGCGCTATAGGTGGCTCAAGTGGTTAAGACACTGAACTGCAGACGGAAGGTCTGTAGTTCGGCAGTTCGAGACCCGAGTGCCGCATGACAGAGTGAGCTCCCGTCTCTGGCCCCAGCTCCTGCCAACCTAGCAGTTCGAAAGCAAGAAATTGCAAGTGGATAAATAGGTACCACTTCGGTGGGAAGGTGACAGCGTTCCGTGCGCCTCGGTGTCTAAATAAATAAATAAATAAATAGTCCTGCCGGCCACATGACCACAGAAACGTCTTCGGACAGCGCTGGCTCTTCACCTTGGAAATGGAGATGAGCACCGCATCCCTAGAGTTGGATCTGACTGGCTTTCAAGCAAGGGAAACCTTTACCTTTACCTTACCTGCCCTAGGCATGCGAGGGATGGAGCCAACGCTAATGCTTGAGAAAATGTAGTTAAGTGTGTAAGTAAGGAGAAGCTACGAGGCAGTTTGCACCCGATAAATCACTTCTCAAAATAAGCCTAGGGAAATCGTGCTGAGTCACTACAAGGCAATGGAGAAGTGCCTATTTGCTGAAGCTCATTAAGAGACCGGGAAAATTGTTCCACACAGATGCGTTTACAGAACTCAGGGCATAGAGAGCTGCAAGGAAAAGCACAAGTCAGTTGTGCGCGGTCTATTATAAGTAGTACTTTTTGCCTCTCCTGAACCAGCTGCCGATAAAGCTCCCTAGGTGACCCTGGGTTCCAGCATTAACACTGCATCACGAGGAAGAAGAAAAATTAGATCTACTGAAAAGCCTCATGCGTGCATTTATTCCACACACAAAAAAAGCCACTGGCAGTCAACTAGAGTAGGAACAGGACCTCCGAGTGCATGCTTACCCCCCACCAGTGCCTCCGTTTTTGCTGAAGTGAGTGCGTGGTTCGCTCGAAGCCAGCTTGAGAAGTTCGTGCCACTCCCGCTCCCATTCTTCTTCGGTGTAAACGAGCCCCGACTAAGGGAGACAAGAGGAAGCATTTCATGTATTTATTTATTTGACCTCTTTGATTTCTTCTCCTGTCCCTCCCAGACACGTTCACAAGAGATAAGTCTTGTTGGTCTCTGAGATGTTACTGGACTCGAATCCAGCTCTTCTACTGGAGATCAACGTGGCTACCCCCTAGGCCCATAGCTATGGTGGAGCTTTTGGGGGTTCCACCGCCTTTCTTAAAGACATAGCCCCACAATATCTCCCCCCCAACCATTTAAAAACATTTTTTAACCTTAAAAAAAATGTATAAGGATAATAGTGTTACCTAATAAGTTTAAGTAATAGATGAAAGGTGAAGGGAAATGGAAAACAAAAAATTTGGGAAGGAGGTTGGAGCACTGCAGGAAGCCAGGAGAGGGGGAGGATAGGGGTAGAAAAGGATATGAAATGACTGAAAAAATGTTATATTGTTTGGTTTGATGTTATATCCTAATAAAAATTGTTTAAAAAACCCCATTTTTTAAAGGCATGCACTCCTTTAAGCGGAGTGAGGTGCTGTCGTTGACTAATTCCCGCACTGAGTGGGGGAGTTGGAGTAGGTGACCTCTAGGACCCCTTCTAAAACTGTGTCAAGAAACTGGTCTCCTTTCAGAGAGCTCTTCTGCCTACGTGTTTCCTTTCTTGACTATAGAAGTCCTCACCCTCACCTGCCGGCTTGTTCTCAGAACTGTTGCTTAGGCTGGCAGGAGTTGCAACAGCTGAGAACTGTCATCTAAAGTGGTTGGCAGCTTGCAGTTCAGAGACCTATCCTGATAACGGCTTTCTATTGGCTCAATGGCTTTTCTTTCTGCACCGAGAACTTCAACCCCGCCAGGAAAAAAAAATTTGCCCCACAAGCCACAAAATCCTGGCTACGGGCCTGCTACCCTCTGAAACAATCTTCAGGGAAGGCACCACATTCGGCCGCATGGGGTGGAAATACATTGATGAAGGGAGCTTTGACTCTGGCGGCGGCTACAAGCATGGACGGCTTCAAGAGGGAATTGGATAAACACACGGAGCAGAGGTCCATCAGTGGCTATTAGCCACAAGGTATAGATAGGGACTCTCAGACTGGGGCAAGGGATGCTCTGTCTTCTTGGTGTTTGGGGGGGCAACAGTGGGAGGGCTTCTAGTGTCCTGGCCCCACTGCTGGACCTCCTGATGGCCCCTGGTATTTTTGGCCACTGTGTGACACAGAGTGTTGGACTGGATGGGTCATTGGCCTGATCCAACATTGGCTTCTCTTATGTTCTTATAAAAGGGGACTGAATGAAAACATGGAGCAGAGGTCCATCGGTGGCTATTAGCCACAAGGTATAGATAGGAACTCTCAGTCTGGGGCAAGGGATGCTCTGTATTCTTGGTGCTTGGGGGGGGGGGGGCACCCGTGGGGCTTCTAGTGCCCTGGCCCCACTCCTGGACCTCCTGACGGCACCTGGTATTTCTGGCCACTGTGTGACAGAGTGTTGCACTGGAGGGGCCATTGGCCTGATCCAACATTGGCTTCTCTTATGTTCTTATAGATGTCTGGGGCAAGGGATGCTCTCTGTATTCTTGGTGATTGGGCAGGGAGGCAACAGTGGGAGGGCTTCTACCATCCTGTCCCCACTTCTGGACCTCCTGAGGGCCCCTGGTGTTTTTGGCCACTGTGTGACACAGAGTGTTGGACTGGAGGGGCCACTGGCCTGATCCAGCAATGGCTTCTCTGATGTTCTCATGTTCTTAAGCTCTAGGCAAGAGCTCGCCTCTTTCCGCCACACCAACCTCCTTATTCTGCTGCGTCTGCTGCCACCTCCATCTTCTCTTGAGGGCCTCCCTTTCAGCGCCGCTTCTCATCATGGTATAGAGGGCTTTCCGCAGAACCAGGTCCCTGTCATGAAAGCCCCACATTCCTAAATGCGGCAGGAGAGAACCACACAAACACACAGTTAGCACTGCAGATCCAGTAACAACACTGAAACGGTACAAAACACGCCGAGAGAAGACTTGAAGCTCGGTGGGCGCCTGTAATTGTTCTAATTATCGCTTAACACCCTTTCATTATTTTAAAGCTTTCCCCAAATCATTGCTGTCAGCATTAAATAGGTTAATAGGAGCAATAGTGGATGCAAAATAAAACGTTGAAGAGGCCTCGTTTTTTGAAAAAGGGGGTGGGGTGGGGGGATAAAAGCTTTTAATTGTCTCAGCCCGTGCTCTCTCATGGACCCCAGCTGCGCTAGAAGGAATTCAAGGCCCTTGATTTCAGCCTCAGAAATTACTAGTTCTAACGGTAGGCTTTAAACCACTTGTAATCGCTAGGGACTCTCTTGCCTCTTTTCAAAGGTTCCCAGGGCTTGTTGTCTCCCCACAACAGATGATCATAGAATCATATGAGTTGGAAGGGGGACCCTCCAGGGTCATCTAGTCCAACCCCTGCACAACGCAGGAGATTCACAAATACCTCCCCCTCCACACACCTGCAGTGACCGCTGTTCCATGCCCAGAAGATGACAAAAAACCTCCAGGATTGCTCCCTGGCCCCAAAGTGGCGATCGGCGTTTCCCTGTGCGTGTAAGGAAGGGGCCACGAGAACTAAGCCCTGAGGCAACCCTTCCTGCCCTCCCTTCTCGTGATCTGACTAAGTTCACTGAATCAGCATTGCTGTCAGAGGACCATCAAGTCTCTGCTTGAGAACCTCCCAAGAAGGAGAGTCCACCACCTCCCGAGGAAGCCCGTTCCACTGAGGAACCACTCTGTCAGGAAGTCCTTCCTCATGTTTAGCCGAAAACTCTTCTGATTCAATTTCAACCTGTTGGTTCTGCTCCGACCTTCTGGGGCAACAGGAAACAACTCCGCCCCATCCTCCAGATGACGGCCCTTCATGGACTTGAAGGTGGTTATCGTGTCACCTCTTAGTCGTCTCCCCTCCAGGCGAAAAAGACCCAACTCCTTCAACCGTTCCTCACAGGACTTGGCCTCCAGACCCCTCGTCATCTGTTCAGTGATTCTCCCCCACCCCCCCTTTCCATAAGTTATTTTGGACGTGTCACGATTTGTGCAGTTTGATAGACGGCAGAAGCTTCCCTGGCTGATCTATTTATTTATTTTTGCTGCCAAGTTAACAGCTGACTTATGGCAACCCAAGAGGCCTTCCAAGACAGGAGAGGATCGGAGGTAGTTAGCCATCGCCTGCCTCTGCACAACAACCCTGGACGTCCTGGGGGGGGGGGTGAGTCTCCCATCCAAATGCCTACCAGGGCTGACCCTGCTTAGCTACCGAGATCCGAACGGATTGGGCTGGGCCATCCAGGTCAAGGCGAGAGACAGAGGTGGGTTTGCCATCGCCTGCCTCTGCGTAGCGACCCTGGACTTCCTTAGTGGCCAGTTTGGTGGCCAGTTTGGTGTCGTGGTTAAGTGTGCGGACTCTAATCTGGGAGAACGGGGTTTTGATTCCCCACTCCTCCACTTGCACCTGCTGGGTGACCTTGGGCAAGCCATAGCTCTGTCAGAGCTGTTCTTGAAAAAGAGCAGTTCCTGTCAGAGCTCTCTCAGCCCCACCGACCTCACAGGGTGTCTGTTGTGGGGAGGGGAAGGGAAAGGCGTTTGTAAGTCTCTCTGAGACTCCAAGTGAAGGGCGGGGTATAAATTCAATCTCTTCTTCTTCTCTTCTTCAGTGAAGATAAATCCAATCTCTTCTTCTTCTCTTCTTTAGTGAGGATACAGCAACTCGGTGCTTACCAGCTGCTGTCCTTTATACTTTTCCTATCTCCGGTACCTGGCATTATGTTTTACGGCACACATGGCCTGCCCGGACAAAGTGACATTTATGTCAGATCCGGCCCTCATAACAAATGAGTTTCACACCTCTGATCTAGATCCTTCAACAGAGTACGGGAGTGCAGGGCAGTTAGTGCGGACACCCCGTGTCAAGTGACCTTTGAAAGTAATTACTTTTCTGACCCTAAAAATCTTTCTAATTCTTCCTTTTCTCCAAAACAGATCATATGGAGACATTACCTCTTTTACTGGAAGATAATAGCAGGCCTGTCATTCTTTTGGCTGCAAAATTTTATGCAGCTCTGATAAGATTTTCACAGCCATTCAAACGGGGTCTAGCTTTTTCTATATTTTAGTAATCTGCTTGGAATTAATAAATTAAGAAGCAGTATGAGGAGGTGGGGAAGGAGGGGGGGGAGGAGGAGATTGGGTTTCTACCCCGCCCTTCACTACCCAAAGGAGTCTCAGAGCGGTTTACAATCTCCTTTCCCTCCCCCTCCCCACAACAGACACCCTGTGAGGTCGGCGGGGCTGAGAGAGCTCTTTTGAGAACTGCCCTTGAGAGAACAGCTCTGAGAGAACTTGTAACTGACCCAAGGTCACACCAGCAGCTGTGTGTGGAGGAGTGGGGAATCAAACCCAGTTCTCCCAGATTAGAGTCCGCACTCCTAACCACTACACCAAACTAGCTCAGTGGAGCTCTTTTGGGAAGAATTCTTTTGCAAAGGAGAGGTGGGAAACGAACATTAAAAGTAAAAACAACAGGAAGGAAACAGGATAACCCTTTCAGGAGGCCGCTCGGTCAGAACTAGGACCTACCCAGAGATGCAGCGTGCAGCAGACAGTTTCCGTCCCCCGTGGTTGCCAGAGGAAGAAGCCGTTTACAACTGGTGCACACCGTGGACCACCAATTAAGACGACCTGGGAGAGGAGGGGGAAAAAGCAGAAATTCAAAATTACAGGGCAGAATCCAGCTGCGGTCAAGCTCTTTCAAGCCGTGCTGATTTCAAAGCTTGTTCTGTTCTCCGACATAATGCAGAAATCTTATCTGCAACAAACAGCACAACAAAACAAACCTATTGGTAAAAGGTAAAGGTAAAGGTTCCCTTGCTCGAAAGCCAGTCGAATCCGACTCTAGGGTTGTGGTGCTCATCTCCGTTTCAAAGCAGAAGAGCCAGCACTGTCCAAAGACATTTCTGTGGAGCTGGAACTAGAGACGGGAGCTCACTCCGTCATGCGGCAACCCGGGTCTCGAACTGCTGAACTACCAACCTTCCACAGCCTGCAGTGC